AAAAAAAAAAAAAAAAAAAAAAGGAAAGAAAGAAAGAAAAGAAAAAGAAAGTAGAATGATGATTCAGGGACTGGGAGGAGGAGGAATTGTTGTTTGGTGAGTAGTTTTCCTTTGGGGTGATAAAAAAGTTCTGGAGATTCAGCTCACATTAAAAAAAAGAAAGAAGAAAAGAAAAAATTTTAGAGATGGATAGTGGTGATGGTTGCATGACAGTATGAATGTAATTAGCACTACTGAACTATACACTCACTGGTTAAGACAGTATATTTTATGTTATGTACATTTTGCACAGTAAAATATTGTAAAAATGTTCTAGCTTTCTGACACAATGGAGAGAGGCCCTAATTGCATGTCCCCTGTTTGGGGACAGGTGGTTGGGGGCCAGATGAGAGGTGTCCTCATCCAGGGACAGGGGAAACACGGTTTCTTCAGCAGCAGGGCAGGAGACTCTAGGAGGGCAGTGCAGTGGCCGCCTTGCGGCTCTGTGCAGACAGCCCCGAGCCTGAGCTCACGCTCTTCTTCATTTCCTGCCCACGCCTCAACGCCACCTGGGCAATCACAGTCCCCTTACCTGCGGCGGTGGAGCTGCTGGACTGAAGGGGTTGGAGCATGGTCCTGTCCTCTGGGTCCCTGCAGATGTTAAATCAAAAACTTCCTGCAAGGACAGGGAGGCAGTGCCAGAATTAGGCAGGAAGCTGAGTTAGCGAAGAAGCCTCGTTTAGTAATTAGCGGCAGAGAGCTGCAATTCTCTGGGTTGGGGTAATAATGGGCTGATGTCTTCACAAGGAAATTGAGTGCGAGGCAACTGAAGCTCTGGTGAAGCCGGACGTTCCTCTGACAGTAATCCGAGCTGAGGCCACATGGGCAAGGTAGTGTTCTGGGGACAGCCACCCCAGATCCTGAGCCTGGGACTGGCCAGTGTGAGGGTTTCTTTTAATGTTCTCTTCCCCCTTACAGGGTGTGGCTGAGATTCAGAGTGTATTCCCCCAGACACTCACTAAGGGACTGATGGCCACTGTGGAAGCTGTAAGCATGATGTCACACCCAGCAGAAGCCGCTGAGCCAAGTGGCAGAGCTGGGTTTTCTGCAGCCGTGTCCAGGGCTGAGAATGACCCCCGAGTGAACTGGATGTGGGGCCACACAGGGCCCACACAGAGGCCCAGGATCAGGGGGCCCTCAATACTTGCCACTGCTTTACCTTTGGTTCTGCATCTGACCCAGAATTCCAGGAATACAGGACTCTTCCTCCAAGCACACTTGGGTCTGTGCTTGGAGGAGATGCCCGAAACAAATATGGGTCTACCACCGGGGCCCCTCAGGCTGCTCCTGACCTTCCAGTTTGGTGTAACTCCATCTTGCTCCTCTGGGCCAGGCTGTCACTTCTCATCCAGCTCCCAGGTGGGTGTGGTGCTACCCACTCTGTGGTCAGCCCCTGACCATGGGAACTTAGAGAAACCATGGGAATGCTCCAGGGTTGGAACAGAAGCACCCAGACCCCTATTTCACCATGAGAGGCCAGATGAACCCCTTGTGCCTGCACACAGTTTGGACCAGGTCTCAGGCATCTTTGCTGTATCCCTGGTCCACAGCTGCACACCTGGGGCATTCTGGGCAGCTTTTAAGAATATGATTTTTAGAAATGACTGTTTTGTTCTCCTTTCATGGAAGTGATATATAGTCACTATCGTATCAAAAACCAGTTGTTTCCCCAGTAGGGTAGCTTGAGGAAGCCACTGCAGTTGGATGATATCGATGGAGAATTATCTGTGGTCAGTGTCTTGGCAAACCCGGCAACTGTTACACTGGAATAGTTCACCTACAAAAGGAGGTGGGGTCTTGTGTGGGGTAACTGGGCTCACCCTTGGGAAATGTGGATTACCCTTGGGAAGTGCTGTTTGTTGTTGTTCTTCACTGTGACCTGTGACTTCTAAGGTGATAACATCGTAGTCTAGGCAAGGTTGACAGTGGTTTTTTCTCCCATTCTTGGGGGTACTGTGTATATCTGACTATGTCTTTTTTATTTTTTAGGACAGATTTCTGCGTACACAAAGATGAGCCATGCGATACTGTTGGTAAGTTCAGAATTGAATAATAATCTAA